AAAACAAAGAAATAAGAAATTGTAAACTGTCAGTTATACCAGCATTCTTTAGATGTGCAAATTTATGAATACATTTCATACTTCCTAGAAGTATGTATCCCCTTTTAATAGTACAATCTTTCATTGTGGCACAAGATATGTTTACTAACAAACTAACATCTTTAGTTTCTCTGTAATAAGAAGATAAAAGTAGATAAACTTATTTTCAGTAATTAATGTTTCAGTATTTATGTTAGTTGGAAATGATCTACATATTTTATGAATTTCCATCATCTAACTTAACTTAGTAAAACTCTAAGGTTTTAAGTTACCAAAAAGATTTGGGGAAACTATTTCGGTAGACAAAAATATTGCTGAAAAGTTCATTTATGAACTTCAGCCTTACATCTACTTAATTCACTTGTTCTTAATAATTATGTTCAGATTAGTTATGAAAACTTCATGTTTTGCTGACAAATTTTGTAACAGAGATAATATGAATTTGATCAGTACACCCATGTAGTTGTCTATCTGCATCACACTTAATGTTGGTAACTCTGAAAACATGTCTATATTAATTAAACCAATACACTTCAAGTAGCTTTTATTTACCAAAGATTATCCTAGATCAGGTGAACTTGAAAAGCATTTGGGTTAGTTTCTGTTACTCAGTTATATTTTTTTCAGAATTTTTATGAATACTAAATATTTTTGTAAATATTTTTGTTTAAGCCAATTGTTTATTTTTTTAAAATATTTATTTATTTATTTTAGAGAGAGAGCACAAGCAGGAGGGACAGAGGGAGAGGGAGAGAAAATCCTAAGTGGACTCCAGATTAAGCGCAGAGCCCGTCTCAGGGCTCAATCTCACAACCCTGAGATCTGACCTGAGCCAAAAACCAAGAGTTGGACGCTTAACAGACTGGGCCACCCAGGCACCCCTGTCTAAGCCAATTAAATAGAGCTCTTTCACAAATTAATTTTGGCAATACTATCTGGAGGTAGAAAAATATCACACATCTACAACATACATTTATAGATACACATAAACATACAAACAGACACAAACATAGATTTTACAATTACCAATATTTGGGGAGAAGATTTTTCATTTGCCCAATTTCCAAATACTACCTCTTTTTTTTTAACCCTACTAATGAGAAACCTCTCCCTAATGTTTGCATTTCAGAGTGGCTCTTAGGTCTTAGAGAAGGGTGTGGAAAATCTACAGAACAAAGGCACAGAGAAAGTATTCAAGTTTCCTCCAGAGGTGGAGTTTTGGGGGAATATTGGCCTATTATTGGAGGTCTAAGGTAATTTAAATAATTCCTTCTTTTTCTGAAGTGCAGGAAAATTCCATTTCCAACGTCCCAATACCTGCAAGCATTTTGAGATGAATACAAGAGGTCTGGGAATTGGTAAAGATAGATGGGCTCTGAACTGCTTCTAAGAGTCACATTTCTGGTTTTGTATAGAGCTGCAAGACGAAAACAGTGGTTTCCAATACTCCTAAAGAACTGGATTACAGCCTGAATATCAAGGGACTGACCCATCTTTCCAGGTAAACTTGCTTCTTTACATCAGGGAGATTTCCAACTAAGGTGGGAATCAAAATAATTATGCTTTTGTAGAAGTCTGTATAAAGTGTTTTAACAAAAACCTTTTTTCTGAGTATACAGTTCAACCTTGGCTTTTATCAGCCCCTGAATGATAGCCTTCAGCTGATCATTTTTAGGAAGGCCTAGGAGGAATTTTGGTCATCTGTTTCCATCTTTGGGTTGTGAATGGACACTAATCTTTCTAACTCCTCTCTAAATTTGGAAAGATATTCTGAAAGTGGAGGTAGAAAGGCTTTATAATTTCAAAGATCTGTTGCTGTCCAGGGGACATGAGTTCTTTGTGTGTGGGGTCTAGGATAGCTCCACAAAGGAGGTTGCATTAGAAGGTCTGAAGCTGGCTGATTTCAGAGCCCTGGAAAGTAGGGGTGGTAGGAAATAGGCAAGTGAGCCCTACTGCCTGTCCTAGATGCTTCTGCTAAATTTACTTCCTGGCTTTCAGCATTTACATGAGTAACCTGTATAGTTTGGGCCTAGAGATTAGGCCAGAGTGTTCTTTATAAATCTTGTAAGGAAAGGGAAATTAAAACAGGCAGATGGGGTCAGGTTTTGGGGATGGGAATTTACGTTGGATGTGAATATTGATTTTTGTCTTAAGTCAAATTTCTGTTCCTTCATCTTATGAAGAGAGCCTTTAAGGCTAGCTATTACACCTTTGTGTCCACTTTTTATTTATTTATTTTTTAAAGATTTTTATTTATTTATTGAGAGAGATAGTGATAGAGAGAGAGCATGAGAGGGGGAGAGTCAGAGGAAGAAGCAGACTCCCCGCTGAGCAGGGAGCCCGATGCTGGACTCAATCCCGGGACTCCAGGATCATGACCTGAGCCGAAGGCAGTTGCTTAACCAACTGAGCCACCCAGGCGCCCTGTGTCCACTTTTTAATTTGGTCTTTCCATAGGTACCAAAAAGACCATTGTTTAGAGGAGCGCTCTCTTTTTTAAAAAAATTCAAATATAGAAGTTTGTCCAATTCAAAGGATTCATCATCTGGCCATTGATAAGTAGGGTCTATTAATCTTAATAGCAAGTCAAAACAAGAAGCCTTTTATGGCTTGACCAAAGATGAAAAAGCCATCCCACAAAAGAGTGCAAAAAAAAAAAAAAAAAATGCAGACCTCACAAGATCCCAGAAAGTTTGCTCCCAAAGACAGTCTAAGAAAGCAAAGGCCTTCATTGATACAGGTGGTAAGAATGGTATGGTGAAAATAATGTTTCCCATTTCCCACAAGAACATGAGATAACTCCAGGCGCAGACCCACTAATCTGTGACCGCAGGCAGAGGCTCCTATAATGGGACTTTTTTCAGCACTAACAAAACAACAGAGGTTGAGATGGCAAAAGCCCCTTACAGACCAGGACCTCCTATCACGAAATCCTCTGAGAGCTGGCACAGTTGGACAAAGAGAATGCTGCTTGTGACTTTGTGTCTCAGAATCCTTGTCTATTCAACTGGCCACCAAAATGCACCCCAGTAGGTGCATCTTTGGGTTGAGAGGCCAGACGGAATATTCTCAGTGGTCACAAAGCCACAATCTCAGGACATAGAACAAGATAACAAACGGCACAGCAGACAGAGATGAAGAAAAATAGTGCCTATCCCTGGGATGGAAAGGATCAATAAAAAACAAGAGTATTCATTACCAATGTAGAGGCCACTTTTAGAAAACAGGCTTGAGTAATAGAAGCCTGAGTAAGGTAAAAGGGCCCACGGTGACCACCAGGCTGAATGCAAACAGGCTCATTAATTAGGCAACCCACCTCAAAATATAAGTCGTAGCTGACCAACAGGCTACTTACAACCAGACACAGTCACCAAATAAGGAAAAGGCCATACGTTCCCATACCTCCTCACTTTCCCCCTTAATTATTGCTCCCCATCACTGTCTGCTGGCAGACAGTCTCTCCTTTGCTGTCCTGCCCACAGCTCCCTTGCATTGTAGTCAATAAACTTCCATCTCCTTTGTTTTGCCTTGGGTGAATTCTTTCACCGGTCACCCACAATCAATTCCTTAACAGAGTCACTATAGCGAAGGAACTAGTTTCACAAAAATTTTCTTCTGCTAATCTACATTCAGAAAAGGAAAATATCCCCCCCCCCACTCTTGCTTTCATCAGACCCTGCAGGCAGAGAACTGGGAGACCGACATGGTAAGAATTCTTACCTTCTGCGGGCTCCTGTCAGAGATCCCAGGATCTCAGCTGCTGCAGCTCAGAGCAAGCAAAAAGTCAAGTCCGTGAAGTTTGTCCTTCGTGGTCGCTGTCTTCAGGGGTAGAAAAGTTTTCCCTTCTTCTCATCTAGGTTCTTTGGCTGGGCTAATAATTAAGTTGATATAAGACAGATCAACAGGACAAAAACAAGTAAAAGTTCAATAACATGTATACCTTCTGCATACATGGGAGAGACCCAGGAAAACAGTAATTTCCCCAAATGGCCAAAGGCATCACTTTAAACACCATCCTCAGCTAAAGGCAAAAGAAGATGTTGGGGGTGGGGAGTCAGTTGTGGGAAGTTAGCAGGAAAAGCACAGTAAATAAGAGTAAGGTTGTAATGCAGATGTAACTCCAGGCCTTCTCCATTGATAAGTTTGTGGAGGTTAAGAAACCATACAGTTTTCTCCTCTTCCTGGTACAGTCCGGAAGACACCCTTACAAAAGGAGATTTTTCTTATAAATGTACATGTCTCTTACAAAAAGATTACTTCCACTGTGTTTCCAGAGTTTCTTGTGTCTGCGGTTTCTTAAAAATAACCAGCTTAGGGGTGCCTGGGTGGCTCAGTCGGTTAAGTGTCCAATTATTGATTTCAGCTCAGGTCATGATCTCAGGGTCCTGCGATTTAGCCCCATGTGGATCTCTGAGCTCAGCAGGGAGTCTGCTTGAGATTCTCTCTCTTCCTGTCCCTCTGCCCCTCCCTCTGCTGGAGTGCGCTCTCACTCTTGCAAATAAATTAATAAAATCTTTAAAAAAAATAACCAGCTTAAAATAATGAATATGCCAAAGAGACATATTTTAGAGTGGCATATATTTACATAAATGTAAATATAAATATATACACACACATATATATGTGTATATACTGGACATACATATACATGGAGCGAGAGAGATGAAGATACTAAAAATCCACCAGAAAGACATAAAGATTATTATTATTATTTTTTAAAGATTTTATTTATTTATTTGAGACAGAGAGAATGAGAGACAGAGAGCATGAGAGGGAGGAGGGTCAGAGGGAGAAGCAGACTCCCTGCCGAGCAGGGAGCCCGATGCGGGACTCGATCCCGGGACTCCAGGATCATGACCTGAGCCGAAGGCAGTCGCTTAACCAACTGAGCCACCCAGGCGCCCCATAAAGATTATTTTAAATAAGAAACATTTGAGCTACAAAAGGTGCACAAACAAATCTTTTTTTTGGCATAGCACAAATTTATTTACTAACCAAAGGGATGATCCTAATTAAATCAACACTTTGAAATAGATGCATGTAAAATGTTTGTGATAAAGATAATTGAACACAGTAATGAAAAAAAAAAGCAGTATGGAGGTTTGCTCATTGAACTGAGCTTGTTCATCCTCACAGCTAATTCCTGTCCACAATGATGATGGAATTTTTACTCTACTTTTTCATAGACCCGAGTACAGGTGACATTATTCATGATGCATTCCACCACTAATTTCCCATTTTCCAATTTTCTTGTGATTGTGCTTTCCTTCCCATCCCATTCCTGATGTTGAACCAACGTGCTGTCTGTGAAGTTGCAGACAGTCTCAGTTTTTCTGCCATCAGCTGTAGTTTCTTCAAACTTCTCTCCCAGGTTACATGAAAACTGTGTTGTTTTCAAAGCGCTCTCAGTTTTTATGGTGAGGTTTTTGCTGTCAGAAGAGATGATACAATCTGGTTTGGCCATTGCACCCACTTTTCGCAGAGCTATTCCCACTCCTACTTCCTTCATGTATTCGTCAAAGCCTTTGCTTTCCACTAAGCGCCATCTTCCTACCAGCTGCTGAATGGCGGACATGGTGGGCGCGGGCCGGCGGGCCTAGAGAGCAGAGCAGAGTGGGGCGTCGGGAGCTTGGCTGCACAAACAAATCTTATCTGAGATTTCTTTATCTAACTAAAGCAGAGCACCCGGAATATACAGCTGCCATTAATCCCCCTTTGAGGAATTTTCCTGTTTGTGAGTAAACGGACTCTTAGCACCAGTAGTTGAGAATCCAGCTGCCATTAATTGCCCTCCAGGGGAGTTTCCTGCCAGGAAGGAGATGGCGCATTAACATCAGGAATCTTGCACACATTCCCACTGAAGCTCTTAACTACTCACACCCTTTTCCCCCCTACTAAGCTGCTATATAAACTATTCTGAGTACTCCCACTGTATGTAAGTAAATCTTGTCTTTTATCCTGTGAATCTGGCTATTGTCAGTTAATTCACAGGTCCTCATAACCCCAATCTGACTTAAGTTGGTAGAGAAAGTTTTCCCCCAACAAAAAGCAAATGATAGAACAAATGAGACAAGATGTTAATAAGTGCGTTTAGGTAGAAGGTATATGGGTGTTCTTTCTACTATTCTTGGAAATTTCTGGAAGTTTGAAATTATATCCAAATAAAAATATAAGGAAAATACAAAGTGAACAAAAAACAGAGCTACTTGATGAAATATTATCTATGATAACAAAAAAGAGTAAATTTATTAAATAAATTTTTATGTATCCATTTAATGTTATCATACAGTCATCAATTTGATGTTTTAAAAAATGTTCCATAACATGGAAGATGTTACACAAATGTTCCTTTTTTTTTTCCAAGATTTTATTTATTTATTTGACAGAGAGACACAGCGAGAGAGGGAACACAAGCAGCGGGAGTGGGAGAGGGAGAAGCAGGACTCCCGCCGAGCAGGGAGCCCAATGTGAGGCTCGATCCCAGGACCCTGGGATCGTGACCTGAGCAGAAGGCAGATGCTTAACGACTGAGCCACCCAGGCGCCCCACAAATGTTCCTTTTTAAAAAAGATTAGAGGGGGGCCTGCTGGTTCCATCAGTGGAGCAGGCAACTCTTGATCTTGGGGTCGTGAGTTTGAGCCCCACGTTGGGTGTAGAGCTTACTTAAAAAAAAAAAAAAAAGAGTAGAAATCAGAACAATCCATGCAGCATAATCCCAATTAGGTCAAACATTAGTGTATGTGTTTGTCCCAGATGTCAACTAAGGTAAGAAGATCCTGTGTCTGTGTTGGTGTGGGAGTGGGTGTGGAGGAGGAGGTACTATTTTTCTCCTTGTCTTCTTTGGGTCCAAACTTTTGCTTTTGATAAATTATTTATGTATGGATGCCATATCTCCTCTTTAGAGCATGGTCCCCAATTAAGTGACATCTCCTTTTTCTTAATTTCCTTTTAAAGCATAAAATAAGACATTTGCATTTGTTTTTTTTTTATTTTTATTTTATTTTTATTTTTTTATTTTTTAATTTATTTTTTTTTATTCTTATGTTAATCCCCATACATTACATCATTAGTTCTAGATGAAGTGTTCCATGATTCATTGTTTGTGCATAACACCCA